AAATTTCAAATGAAAGGTGCAAAGTTATAACTTGAAAAATATAGTAGTGATGAGTAAGAAGTAATGATTCATTAATTCTATTAAAATAAAATCTTAGATAAAATATATAATAGCAATAAAATATAAATAAGAACTTCAGAGTTTCCCTCACAATTCTAAACTTAAATAACATAAAAAAAGAAATGACAATTAGACCTGTAAATAAAATAAAAAATAATTTAGTTTAAAGATGACACGTATTCAAGAATCATATTTATTGAAGATCTCCGCAAAATTTGCTTCCCCAAAAGTTGTATGTCTACTAGCTTCTTCTCCGAAAGCTTTCAAATCATCACATTCAATACTTTCAATTGTAGTATCATTGAACTTTTCATCTATACATTTAAGATTTTTTTATAGATGTGCAGTATAAACAAATAAATAATGTAATCTTTCAAATTTAGAAAAAAAAAAAACATACGCTGAGTTTGCATATTTGATTCTATGATAGGATCTTCGGAATATGGAATAACATCCTCTCTATAAATTCCACTATAAATCACCATCGTCAAGTTCATGAGAAGGTTTTTCATCAACTACCTACATCCTCTCTATAAATTCCACTATAAATCACCATCAAGTTCATGAGAAGGTTTTTCATCAACTACCCAAAAATCAATCATCTAAATACTCATGTAATTCAAAGGATCATAAATTCTTTTATTCATATGCAATCTAAAATATAAAAATAAGAAATTTTCACTTGTGTCAACATTTAACATGCATTGATTAAAAATATAATATATTATTCTTCTAAAATAGAAAATAATATCACAAATTCTTTAAGTTAAGGTTGTATCGAACATATATAAGATCATTGGGTCTTAAATGTTTTAGATAATTCTTCGTTTTGTATGAATTTGCACAAAAATACTCCAATATCTTTCACATTCAGAGGAAGAAAAAGTTTGACAAAGAATCCTTATAGCTAACTTTTGTAGATTTAGAGTACTTGAGCCAAACATCTTCCACCATTCATCTAGACAAAAAGGAAATAATTTAAAAGCGAGACAATTCAAATAGATGTATAAAAAAAAGTAGTAAAATATAACATATGAACTTACCAGGTTGCATTTTATTTGAAATTGCCAGAGCTATTGGCTTTCCAAAATTTTCTAAACTAACATTAAAAAATCTAACCTCAATCATCGCCAATGTAGGTTCTGAGCATATATCTTTTTTTCTAATAATCTCAACCAAGTTTTGCATAATATCATGCTTATTACAACAGTTCTCTTATCAAATTAGAAATGGGGCTTCAAGAAATAAGCTGCTGCACGGATGTCTTGCCGAAGTTAATTATTACATCTACTCTTGATGATACTAGAATATGGTTTGTACAATCTTTTTGTAGTCCTAAACATCCCCTTTATTGTCTTTCTCACTTTGTACATACCATCATATAAATATCCAAGTGAAGATTTTTCGTTAGAGTCAACAACACAAAGTAACCAATAATTATTTAAGAAACAGTAGACAATAGTACAATACATACTCATAATATAATAATATTACTATTATTAATTGATAACTTTGACATTATAAAATCATTCCAACACTCGAAGTCTAAAATGATAGAAACAACATTTTTTTTTAATATAACTTTGAGTCTGTGTAATATTTGCCTGTTGTAAATGCCTGCAAATCATGCTTAGGCTCATATACACGTTAAGGTAAAAAAAAGTAGTAGCAAATCGTGTTGCTTCAGGACGCACTCTCTTTCCACCCCGGTGTTTTTTGTAGCTAAGCTAGTATGAAAACATGATTATTAATATAAATTATTAGTTTTGAAGCATTTTTTGCAACCTCATTGACATGTGGCATGCTACCAATATTTTTTAAAATAAGATTTCAGCAGTGAGCAACACGAGGTGACCAGTAGATGTCATATTTCTTATTTGATAACTCTTCAGCCTTCTTATAATTTGTAGTATTGCCAGTTACAATTTATACCATATTTTTTGATCCTATCCACTCAACAGCTTTAACAAATAAAACACATAATGTTACTGCATCTTTCTTAACATCAGAAGCATCGACTGATTTTAAAAATGAGATCCCACGTAAACACTAAATTAGAAAGTTAATCAAAGTTTTATTTCTATTATGTGTCCACCCATCAGTCATTAAGATACATCTCGTGTCTTTCCAACATTGTATGTAAGACTCAACAAGTAGTATGCATTCATCTTTGCAATCTCTTAATAAGTTCACTCTCCTTCTATAATAAGAGGGGAGTTTGGATCCAGGCACAATAGTTGTGATTGCGTTGCCTGCTCAAAATATAAATTCAATACATTTGTAGTGATGCAACAATTAAAAAAATCATCTAGTTATGGCAAAATCAGCACGATATATAACATATTTAGATGCCAACACACTTTTTATATAGGTTTGTGACCCTAATTTTGTTCTTGAAGCAGAATAATTTTTTTTTGTTTCATCCATCTTTCTCTTTTCTTTATCAAACCTTTTATTATGTGAAGTTAAACTTTGTTTTTTGGAAAGAATTAGAACCCCTCATCTTCAACAGCTAAATTATGATACAAACTCATACTCTCTTCATCATATGTCTGAATTTTTTTAGATATTTGTTTTAAATTCTCTTACATATTATAAAATAGATCATGTGATATTTTTTTACATGTAGCAATATTGTCTTTCACCCACAGCTAAGTGTTCGTTCATTCTATTACTGCCTCCACATTTGTATATAGTTCCACAATACAAGCATTTATACTATTGTTTCCATCAAGACCCCTAAATTCAGTAAAATGATTCCATGCTAAATCTATTTTTTCTCAAGCACTGTGTGTAGAAGTAACATGTTGACTTCAGGTAGGATCCATTCTAATATAAATAATATAAAAAAATTTAACATAATAAATAATTTGTATATAGATATGAAATGGAATACCTAGGAAGATTTGGGCTTATTGTATAAAAAAGATCTTAATTTATTAGAACTAAATGAAATTATAACACTAAATACAACGCAATAGAGAAAAATGATTCATATAGCCGACCTCACGTAGTGGGATTACGACTTTGTTGTTGTTGTTGTCGTATGGATATGAAATGGAAACACATAATTTAGCCAAAATTGATAACAACATCAGCATTTGAAGGAGAATTGAAAGCTTTTCAACTATAAGTATAAAATGGAATCTAAACCAAAATTGAATGATAAAACGTACTTCTTTGCCATAAAGCTTGAAATGAAAAAGATGACTCCATTTTATTGCTAAAATGGTTCCACATATCATTAAAACTAAAATTATCATCAAATGAAAATTTATACGGTATTGACTATTTAGTCCTTTAAGTTAATATCTATGGGAAAAGTTAAAGATATGCATATTGCAACAGGATGTCTTTTCCCAAAAAAGACCTTCCTGAACAGTAACTATTTTTTTTTCAAACGTAAGTTAAGCTACTGAGAAAATAGCAGTAGACAGATGAAAAAAAAAGGCTTCAACTTGAAACACTAAAGTCAGATCGTGTTTACCCAATCTCCATGTCAAGAGGAGCATGCTTTATTAAATGAAGATAAAAAAATGGTGAACTTGAACTTTTCAGGTACCAATAAAGATGATAGAGAAAGAAATGGTGCTTAAGTTTCAATAACTGAAATGTCGTATGAAAACAAAATTTGATTTTTGAACAAAGCACCTCCCCAAAAAAAGCTAAGGTATAAAACATAAACAAGCCTCTACATCTTTAGGTAAGAGATATAATCAAGATTTATGGAAAAATAAGTCAAATAACACTAAAAAAATTCATGCATTTGCGAATGGAAAAAAAATTATATTCTTAAGTCATCTACATATGTGTGATATACTGCTGCCATTAGTTCAAAAGAAATAAAACTTTTATGAGTATAATCAGTTTAACCGGTAAACCACTCAACCTACCACTCTTCTTTCATCTTTAAACCAAATTAATTTGCATATGAAGGATTGACTTGGTTAGAGAATGCCTTGAAATGGCATATGAAGTAGTTAGGAGTTTGGATGTAGGACTTGGGCACTTAGCAGTTAGGAACACTTACACTGAATGCCTATCGGCTACTTTTGATATCCGGCGGTGCAAGACCGTGAAGGGCGAACGGCTCCAAAGTCGAACAGCGGTGAACGGCTTGAACGGAGGCGTAATCCTATTGTGTGTCTCCCTTGAATGCGGGAAAGCCAAGTGGTCAAATGCCGAATGGAATTTCGGATTTGTTCTCTCTTGACCTAGGGGTTTTATTACGGGATCATGTAATAAAAAAGGCTGAACGGGTTCGCCGGTTCTACGGGTTCCCGAATATTCAGAGCCATAATCGAAATTTTAAGTGTCTCGGACAGGACTGGCCAGCTGTTCACAGTCGAACCGGTTAAACTAGTCGGTCCAGTCCACTTTTCAAAACCTTATCATTTTCATTACATAGTGCTGCTACCGGTGTTCATGTTAATTGACTTTTAGAGTTAGGTAACTTCAACCACTACTTGCATGCTAGCATAATATGGAAATGTTTGTCTGGTTGAGTATTACCATCGTTTAGAATACATTATCATGGAAATTGTTTTTTGTGAATAAGAACTATCCAAATATTTACTCTAGATGTTGTCCTATATGGCCAACATTTGTACAACAAATATCTTGAATTAAAATGAAATTGACAAGGCAATTTAGCCAGCCAAACATATGGTATGTAGAACTAATGATAGACCACCAAATGAAGCTAGCAAATCAAATAGCCTTACGTTATAGTTAGGCTATTTCCTAATCATTGTTATTAAAATGTATAAGACATTTTACTGTGATTTGGCAACTTAATCTAATTCAAAGTATCAAGAAAAAATAACTTCAGGTGACGCAACTTTGAGGTGAAGTAGCAGCCAAAGAGTTGATGCAACTTAGGAAAAACATAATAACTAGGTATAACAGGATAAGAAAAACAAAATGGCATCAATGCATACCTTTATCTTGTTAGAGAATCCTACAAAAAGCTTCCCGTGCCAATGTAATAGAGAAGTTATGACAGAATCAAAATTTAGAGAAGCAACAGGCCTGACATCCACTAGCAACCCATCTACTAAAAGCTCCTATAAAAGTAAAATAAAGTTGGATTCTGTTAGAGAATTGAAAATAAATAAATATATGCACTCTTTCGTGCAAATTGTTAAATTAAAATAACACTAACATTCGGATTTGACCAAGTGTTGCAGCTTAAGAAGCTATTATTTGATAGCAAAAACAAATTGAGAAATGAAGTCAATTACACCTGAATGCTGACAATCATATCCCAGCCCCCAGTGCACATCCAATTTGAATCTACATGTAGCGCAAAAATTGCACCGTTCTGAATTTTAATTGATTTAATAAACTCATCATTTCTCCAAATCTGAAGGAAAAAAAAAAAATTATTAACATGACCTTGGTCTTGTACCAGAGGTGTGCACCAGAACACATACAAACCAAAGCATCAGTGCACATACGTACGCATGGCAGAAACATGCATTCAAGTTCCAGTATACATTAATGTGCGAAGAGGTGCATGAAAACTCAAAAGCAAATTTTTATTTAATAAGAACGATTTTCGTTGTAATAGGATAAAGCTCAAGACTTGGGGAAGCCAACAGAAAGGCAACTCAGCAAATAAATAAATGTTATGATGCACACCCAAACCCACAGAAGATATTTTAGCATCTAAGGAAAGGAATACAAAAAAAAAGAATCTCAATAAGGAGCTATTCAAGTTTTACAAACAAAAAAAGAATCTCAATAAGGAGCTATTCAAGTTTTGCACCAATAGAATCATTTAAACTGGAACAAATCACTTATTCATTTTAATTCATGCTTCACATCAAAGAGCTCCCCGGTGATTAGGCTTCTCACTGTCACGATCTGACTTGGGGCTTGAAAGTACTAAGGCGGAAACAGACGGATGGAAGATAATAATCATGTTTTTTTTTTTTTATAACTAATAGTTTGCAATCCAAAAAAATATGTAAAGCCGCTATAAAAAGTAAATTAGAATAATACAATTTACCTTAGTTCAAGTTGTCCACGTCTTCTGTAGATATTATTTTCTTTAGTACTCATTATATATATATATATATATATATATATATATATATTATGAAAAGCCCAAGGGCTGTTTTTATTGAAATAGAAAATGATACATAAAGGTTGTATGAGAAGAGTCCAGACACCCTACCCATACTATACAAGTACATAAAAACTACAACAAAAGGTACAGATAGACTCAAAAAAAATTAAAAACAAATTTAAAACATGCAGAAAACAGTAGCTAGGAACGAGCCAGTTTAGTCATGCCTCTTCCTCTAGTTTTAGGAACGGAATCAGACAATAAGCTTTGAATAGTCGTGTCATTGCCAAGAGGCACAAAAATATCATCTATTAAATTTCTAAGTTGGAGTGAGCCCCCAGGTTTCTTATTCCGCCGAGAAGTGTAAACCTGTCATTCTTCATCTGAAGAATGACTCATATGATCCTCGATCTGATTTGATGTTTGAACCGCAGTAAAAGGAAAGACAGTCGTTGCCATGTCGGCAAAAAGAGTTATGTTTGGGGGG